CCTAAATGGGGTCATAAAGAGTTGGACACAATTGAAAAACAAATGAACAATAGTGAGTTTTCACTCTTGTATCTCCAAAGGCAACTGGCATAGCACATGGTGGGTGCTCAGTATTATTTGTTGACTTGTTTGGTGGTTTTTATTCTACTGAAATGTAACAACTTGAATAGTGAACTCTTGGGAAGAGAGACCTGGAAGGATGAGAGAGGGAGGAGAGAGGTGCCCTCAGAGCTAGTTAATAGATAAAATAGCTCACGTTCATATAGCACTTTATGGTTTACAAAGTGCTTTCTAAGTGGGAGATGCAGGAGGTCAGCTGGGAGATTGCAGTAGGGGCCTGGCCTGGAAGCAGCTGGAGGTGAGCAAAGATGGAGCCCAGCTGTGCAGTTCGTCAGATTTGGCCCCTTCCAGCCACCAGAGTTGAGAAACAGCTGATTCGAGTCACTGGGCCCACCTCAGGTTTGGGGGTAGAAGAGAGACTCCTAGATAGCCCCCAGGCTTCAGAGGCCCTGTTCCCTAGTGAAGGAAAAGGATCAGCCCATAGTCAAAGGCTCATAAACTAACATCACTGTTGTGATAACCTCCTAACTGGTATTCTTGTTTCCAGAAACTTCCTCTTCAGGTTGAGGTTGGACTTCATGAGTTCTGGGATCCCTACCAACTCAAAAATTCTGTAATCCTGTAAATGTTAGACCTAGAAAGGACCTTTGAGCAGAGAACATAGCATGTCAGAGCTGTGAGGGACCTTAGAACATAGAATATGAGAGCCAGAGGCAATCTTAGAATATAGAAGTGTCAGAGCTGGGAAGAAACATAGATCACAGGAGATCAGAACTAGAAGGGCCCTCGGAACATAAAATACAAAATGTCAGAACCAGAAAGGACCTTAGAAACCATTTTGGCTAAGCCCCTCATCTTATATGGGGAAAAACTGAGGCTCATAGAAGGGAGAGTCACTCGCTTAAGATGACAAAGCAAATTCATGGTAGATGGGACTTCAGCCCTGTGTCTCAGCTCCCGTTCAGCGCTCCATTCCTCTCCTTGGTGGTTCCATTGAGTGGGATGGGCTGGAGAACTCAACTTATCTTCCAATCCAAGTGGCCCACAGGGCCATCCAAACCTGGCAAAGAGAACCATGTTATGCCCTCAAGTTATAGGTTGAAGAATGAGACAAAACTAAGTCTCATTTCTCTAATACTTTAGAATTTACAAAGCATTTTCTTCATAACAACTTTGAGAGGAAGTTAGGGTACATTTTATCCCGTTTTATAGATGAGGAAACTGAGGGTCAGAGAAGGGAAGGGACTTGCTCATGGTCACATACATAGCAAATGCCAGAATCAGGAAATGAACCCAGATCTCTTGACTCCATGTCAAGTGCTCCTTTACCCTACCAGACTATTATCTCCCCCGAGGACCAACTTTGGGGCCTCGGAGACCCAAACTGCAGCAATGATGTGAGCCTCAGTGTCCTGTTTATGTTTTGCGGTCTTGTGAGTAACAGAGTGGAAAAAAACAAGAATGAAAAGATAACAATTGCAATGAAATTAAGTCAAATAAGCTAGTGACTCATTTCTGGAGCAATAAAAATAAAACAGAAACAGACTGATTTGGGGAGCAGAGAAGGCAATGAATGAAAAAGGGAAGAATCCAAGGCTGGGGTTTTTTTTAATTATGTAGACAGGTTTAAGCATGAGCAGGTGGTGGAGGGCAACTGGGTCTTGGTGAGAGGGTGGAGGGTGCCAACACTCAGCAGGCCCCTCGGGAGTCCTGGGAATTTCAAAGTAAATAAATGGTCGTGCCAAGCTTGTGAGTCTGGTTCTTGGAGGAGCGTATCCTCAGGGTGGGGTGAGTCTGCCCCAGCCCAAATCAGCATAGGCCTCATCTGGCCCATGGTCATATCAACCAGTGGCATTTTCATGGAAAGGCCCAGCAGGTATTCAGGCTGAGAGCCTCTGTGTGTCTGCCTCACTCAGAGCCTGGTATGATGGAAACAGCACTGGACGTGGGTTCAGATGCTGGTATTGACTCTAACTAACTAGCCATGTGACCTTGGAGAAGTAAATGCCTCCACTCCCTGTCTCAGCTTCTCCATCTGTAAAATAGGCATCCCTGCACTTTCTACCTCAGAAGGTCATTGTAGGGGAAGCACTTTGTAAATCTTAATGCATTATTATTTCTCTGTCCTTCAAACCCTAGGCCCAAACTAAAGTGACATTAGAGCCTGTCCTAGAACAGCCTAGTGATAGGGGACTAGAGAAGAAAATAGAACTGGCTGCAAATTAGGAGGAGGCCTGACTTCTGATTCTTTTTGCCATCGAGCTGTGTGAGGTCAATTCACATCACTAGGACTCAGTGTCCCCCTCAGCAAAATGGACAGAATATTACTCTCCTCTGTTTTAAGTTCCAGTAAGAAATAAACAAGATAATTATCTGAGAAACAGATCCTTCCCCCTCTCTGAGCCCTTGGAAAATGAGGGGGTGTGGACAAGATGTTCTCCAAGGTCCTTCTAGCTCTGGAGCCTATGAGCTTATGAAGTCAACTGGCTACGGCCTTCGCTTGGATGACAAGGAGGTGGCCTTGGGAAACACATGATTCAACCTGAGAAATTGGCATTGAGGCAGAGGAACAGAGATAGGGAGAGAGAAGAAGAAGGAGTGGGGACAGTGAAACTAGAAGAGGGGTGTGTGCACACGTGTGTGTTCGTGTGTGTGTGTGTGTGTGTGTGTGTGACAGAGTGGTCTAAGTCTGGACTCTGCGTATGTGTGTGTAAGAGAAAGAGAAAGAGGTGGAAGGAGAAAAGGAAAGAAAAGATGAGAAAGACAGGGAGAGAGCAAAAGAGAAAAAATATGAGAGAAAGGGAGAGAGAATGAGAAAGGAAGGGAGAGAATGAGAGGTCAAGAAACAAAAAGAATGAGAAAAAGAGAGACACAGACAGACAGACGGACTTTGGTATGTCTGTCTATCAGAGGCTTCTGCAGTGTGGTGTGCCAGGGCTACGTATACTACCCAGGTGTGTGTCAGTCGGGTGTGTGTGTATGTCAGAAGCATGTGGCATCACCATGCCCCGTTCATCCAGGCTTGCCACCTCAGAGTAGCCCATGACTATTCCTCCTTCCCCACCCTCCCTAGCCAATCAGGTGCTGAGTCTTACTGATTCTGCCTTCACAATGTTGTCCACATGTATCTCCTCCTTCCTCCAGTGACTTGGTGAGAAGCCTCCTACCTGGTCTCTTTGCTTCCCGTGTTACTTTTCTTCAGTCTATGTTCCACACAACTACCGCAAGAATCTTCCCAAAGCACATGTCTGATCATGTCATATCCCCCCCCCCCCCCCCCAAAAAAAAAAAAACAAAAAACTCAAAACCTTCGATGCCTCCCTAATGCCTCCAGGAGGGTGTTAAGGCCTCCACCATCTGGCTCTCACCTACCATTTCAGCCTTATTTCATACAACAAAATGTTCAAGTTAAACTGACTTTCTAACTGTTCCCCATCTTCCACTTCTGTGCATTCACACTAGGTAAGATGTCCTAAGGCCTGGAAAATAGTCTATCCTCATTTTCCTTTCTCAGAATCTTTGTATTCCTTCAGGACTCAACTCAAATGCTACCTCCTCCAGGAAGCTTTCCCTGATTTCAATCCCTCCTCCCTTTTCAGTTGTTTGTGCCCTTTTCTTCCATTTTCCTTATGCTATGCTTTCTGGAGGTACATGTTGTATCCTTCCAGAAGACTGTAAACTCTTTGAGGACAAGGCCTTTTGCCCCAATCACAAAGAGATTTCAATTTCGAGACAGCCCCAAACCCTAGCACACACCATACCCAGTGCCTTGTACGTAGTAGATACTTAATGTTTGCTGTATTGAATTAAATGTGGTGATGGTTTTGGTGATGGTGGTGATGGTGGGAATGTCTTGAGGTATATTTTTGTGTTAAGTGTCCTGTTGGGGTTGACTGTATCATAGCGGCATAGGGTGTGTGTGTGTATGTGTGTGTGTGTGTGTGTGTGTGTGTGTGCGTGTGTGTGCGTGCTCGCATGCGCGTTCCTTGGGCTGCCTGCGTCACAGTGGGGGGGGGGGGGCGGGGCCTGGCATGTCAAGGCTCTGGGTGTATCAGGGCCATGTGTATTAAGGGTCAGGACTATGTGGGTCAGAGCTGTGGGTGTGAGGCTGTACGTGCGCGCGCAGGCTGGGTATCAGAACGGTGGGTGTGAGGATTGTGTAATAGAGGGCCCAGAAATGGCTCCCCAGCCACAAATGTGGCTGGTCTTCGGGGTGGGCAGTCAGGCAGGCAGGCAGGCAGGCCTGCCGAGAGGCCTGCAGGGAGGGAGGGAGGCACACAGGCGGCTGGAGCTTGATCAGCCCAGGGAGCAGGCTGCCAGTTGCATAAGCAAAGCCTTGGGAAAGTCACATGGGGTGTCGGTCCTCTCCTGCCACCACCCCCAACTCCCTCACCCTTCATAGTGGCAGCTTTTTAAAAGGGCCTTGGCCACCCCACCCCACCCCACCCCACCCCTCTCTGAATAATCTCATCTTTACTCTTCTTTCCAACAGGCCTTGAAGAGCCTTTTTCTCAGGGCCCTTTGAGTGGGAGATGAGGAGGGAGAATGGGTCAGGGCTGTCCTTGTCACAAGGTTGTTGTTGCCCCCTTTGTGGGTCAGTGGCAAAAGGCCCAGAACTCAGGGCCATAAGGAAGGGAGATAAAAGGGTCCTCAGACTAAGGCTATTCCTAGTGGGGCTACATAGCAAGGGAATTTCTCTTCTTACCTAGCCTTACTCATTGAATGGGCGTTGCCTCAGTCAAACTGAGACCTGGGAAAGACTTTAGCTTAAAAAAGCCAAGGTCTCCCACTGCATCCTGGGCCACCTCCAGTCTTCCTGATCTATATCTTGCCACTGGACCCAGATGGCTCCAGAGGAGATAGTGAGGCTGGTGACTTTGCACAGCCCTGCCTCACTTAAATCCAATTCACTTGCATGTTATGGAATCACCTCCCTGGTGTCATGGTCTTCTTCAAGAATGATGGACAAACAACAATGTAACAAGAGGCAAAGGTCACTGAACCTGAAGAGAGAAGACTTGAGTTCAAATGCTTCCTCTGCTGCTCTTCCTTTCTGGGGCTCAGTCGCCTCATCTGTAAAACAACAGAGGTAAGGGCAGCTGGGTGGCACAGTGAATACAGCACTGGCCCTGGAGTCAGGAGGACCTGAGTTCAAATCCAGCTTCAGACACTTGACACTTACTAGCTGTGTGACCCTGGACAAGTCACTTAACACCATTGCCTAGCCAAAAAAAAACCACAATAGAAGTGAATTAGATAACCTTTAAGATTTCTTCAAACTGTAGATCCTGGAATGACATTTTACCTTTCTATAAACTCTCTAAAGTATAAAGAATGCTTTCTTCAAAACAACCATGGAAAATAGGTAGTTGTTATTATCACTCCCATCTACCAGATGAGGAAACTGAGGCTATGATAAGGAAAACAATTTGCCTGGGAGATCACACAGATAGAGTCAACAAGTCAAGTCAACAAGCATTTTATTAAGCATCTACTGTGGACCAGGCACAATGCTAAGCCGAGGTCTACAAAGAAAGGCAAAAACAGGGATCTTGTTCTCAAGGAGCTCAGAACCTAATGGGGAATACCCATGCAGACAACTAAATGAATACAAGATAGAGACAGTATAAACTGGAGATAAACATCAGAGGGAAGGCACCGGTATGAAAGGGGATCAAGAGAGGCTTCTTATAGAAGGTGGGCTTTTAGCTGAGACGCGAAGGAAGCCAGGAGGTGGAAATAAGGAGGGAGAGCGTTCCAGATGTGGGGAACAGCGTGCAGAAATGTAAAGAGCTAGGAAATGGAGTTGAGAAATGGCAATAAGGCCAGTATCACTGGATCAAAGAGGGGAGTGAGGTGTGAAAAGACTGGAAAAGTAGGAAGGGCACAGATTTTGAAAAGCCAAATAGAGAGGCAGGTACAGTGGATAAAGTGCTGGGGCCTGGAGGCACGAGGATGTGAGTTCAAATCCAACCTCAGACACTCACTAGCTGTGTGACCCTGGGCAAGTTACTTAACCCTGGTTGCCTCAAAAGAAAAAAAAAAGCCAATATATTTTATTCTGGAGGGAGCTGGAGTTGAATAGAGGGTAATATGGTCAGACCTGCACTCAGATCTCTTTCTACCACCAGACATGTCTGTCTTTAAAGCTAAGAAGCAGCATTGCATCTTCTCCTGGTAGTTAAGATACAGGGGATGAGGGTGGAAAAATGCAGGGAGATCAGTCCCTATTCACCCAGACGACCCTTTCCCCCTGGTATACCTGTATTCACCAAATTTGCCTATAGCCATATGGACTGGGGAAGAGGCTGGTAAGCCTGCCCTGGCCCTCTGAGCAAAACAAACCTATTTGGTTGAATCTTAGGGTTGAAAGAGACCTCCATTAGTCTGTCTTCCTACCCCAATTCAGCATTTGCCCTAGACAGCTAGATGTTTCTTTTTGATTCTATAAATTGTTTTTTTTGTTTTGTTTGTATTTTTTGGGCAATTGGGGTTAAGTGACTTGCCCAGGGTCACACAGCTAGTAAGTGTCAAGTGTTTGGTCTGAGGCTGGATTTGAACTCAGGTACTCCTGACTTCAGGGCCGATGCTCTATCCACTGCGCCACCTAGCTGCCCCCTACAAATTGTTTTTTAATCATTGTTTATCCTTCCCAATCCCTCTTTTAAGCATTGAATCATAGAATATCCAACCTGGAACGGCCTATAGAATACAGAATGTCAGAGTAGAGAGGGACCTTAGACTATGGAACAGGTAATGTCAGAGACAGAAGGACCGTTAGAACATAAAATATAGGACATTTGAGCAGAGAGGGGCTTATGTAGCCTATATAAGCTTTAGACATTCTTATCCCACCTCTTACATACACTGATAAATCAGTCAGATTCCCAGAGGACTGGCTATAACTTCTGCTCGGCATTCTAAGGATACTCCTAAGGGGTTATAGGGTTTTTCCTGTGATGCTATTGATTCTAACCCCCATTCTAGTGTTGCATTCATGCAATATTAGTCACCAGTTATAGTTAGCAACTCTCTAATATCATTGATCCAATGAGTAACACTCCAATATCATTTAGCCAATTAACACTAATTAGCTTTACAAAGGAAAAAGACAGAGCAGAACAGAAGTTACAAACCATTTCCCCCAACACCCAAAGGCATGCTATCCTCTGGGGACACTGGGCTCAGAGCAGTTTCTATAAAATACTTGCCCTACCAAGTTTACATCTAAATGTAGCAGACACGGCATCTCAGGGTTATATGTTGTGGGCCTTGGGCAAGCAGGTCACTTCTCAGGACTATCCTGCCATGTGGTGTCTGATTCCTGGACTTCTGGCAGCTCACTCCTCTGACCTTTCAAAGCTCACAGAGTTGTAGACATATTCAATAATCAGTCACCTAAGAACAAGAAAGAAAGAATAGTCACCACAGAGATAGAAAAACAGCATGACTTCATGACACCTCCAGGTGAGAGAGGGCTGCTGGCCCCTCCTCCACCCTGAGGCCTATAGAAATTTCTCCTTCTCACACACAGGACCAAAGAGAGGTCAAGTTGCTGCTTCAGCAGCCAATCAAAAAGTCTTTTCTCCTCACGCAGTCAGTGGATAGAAAACCATAACAGAATATGCTTGCATACTTCGAAGTAGACAGCAGGGCCCTCCATTATGCACGGAGGCAGCCTCAGCAAACATTTACATACTTCTGGGATGGGGACCTCATTGTCCCCTTGTTATACTTATAACATAGGCCATAGATGTGAGAAACCTTAGAACAGAGGGAATAGAACTTCAGAGCTGGAAAGGAGCTAGAAATGCTGACTGTCAGAGTTGAGAGGGGCCTTAGAATATATAATATAGAATGTCAGATCTAGGAAAGACTTTAGAATGTATCATATAGAATGTTAGGACTGGGGAGGATTTTAGAATAGAGAGTATCAAAGCTGGGAGGAACCTTAGAACATATAATTTAGATAGAATGTCAGAGTTTGGAGGAACCTTAGGGAACTTCTATCAGACTGAATTCAGTGAGACTCAGTAACATCACCTTGTTTGTTGTTAATCACCTTCCATGTGTCTGGCCTTGAAATTAAAAAACTGGCCCTGGCCTAAAGAAGCTCATAGTCAAGAGGAGGACACAGGCCACACTTGCATGAAATAACACTACCAGATAATGTATCATTAAGTTAATTATCTTCTCTACCTCTTTACCCTTACTCAACTTCTTCTTGCTCCCTACACAACTATACTAAAAAGATGCCAAGAGTGGGACCCATGTCAGCTAAGTACAGAAACCCTAAGCAAAATGATAAGTGCAAGTTTAGATCCTAGACGAATGGCTCTTTCCTTTGCCTGATTTCTTTTAAACTATGCCTGATTTCCTAAAGGTCCTGAGTATCTGATATTAGCCTATTCTCTTCAGTGTCTTCTGAGATGGCAATGACCCCATTCTCCAAACATTGTTCAAGGATTCCTTCCAGTGTCAGACAATTATCCATTTAATGAATTAAGTGCCTTTCAAATTTCCATCCTGTAGGGGAGAGAGACTAGATCCCTGCCCATAGGGAGCTTACAGTCTAGTTGGAGAGGCAAGGCTCACACAGAAAGGAGAACCCTACCAGACAGGGTACATACACCTTGATTCTCCAATGTATTGGTGATCTTATTGAGGTCAGTACTCCCTCCAAAGATGCAAATGGAAACCTATTCTTGCCTTCTTGTCTTATGTAACTACCATCCATGGACAATAAAGCTCACATGGGGTCCCCTTACCTGCTAGGGACCTTCCTGGAGTTGTCTTGATGTTGATTGAGCCAATAGGAGTAGAGCACAAAGGCTGTCCATCTGTCATCCCTCACTCTTTCCGCATGACCAGTCCACCCTCTTTTCCGGTCATACACTTCTCAGATGATGTCTTTTATACCACTTATCTTATGTAATTCTTCATAGGCAATGTGCTACAGACAGTGTGTCATAAGTCTAATGCTTTTTTTTTTTGTTCGTTTTTTGGTTTTGGGTTTTTTTGGCTAGGCAATGGGGTTAAGAGACTTGCCCAGGGTCACACAGCTAGTAAGTGTTAAGTGTGTCTGAGGTCACATTTGAACTCAGGTCCTCCTGAATCCAGGGCTGGTACTTTATCTACTGCACCACCTAGATGCCCCAGTCTAATGTTTTAAAGTGCTAAATTGAGTATGGGCAGTGAAACTGGAAGAGCTCAGAAGAGGGAGCTGTAGGCTGAGCTAGTCAATGAATGCTTCCTGGAGCAGATGGGATTTGGGCTGGGACTTGATGGCCAGGTAACATTGGAATCAGTAGAGAAGAGGACATTCCAAGACGTTCCAAGCAAAACCCTAGAGTCACAAATGAGCCTGGCATATCCATGGACATGTCTTGGAAACACAAATAGAATACACCATCCAGCCTTGTTTTGTTTTCATTAATGGATAAGGATAAGGTTGAAGAAATAGGATAGAACTGGGCTATAAAGAACCTTGAAGGCCAAGCCAAAGAGTTTCAACTTGATTCAGGAAAATAGTAGGGAACCATTGAAAAGATGAAATAATGAAAGTGAAATGAGCAATGCCAAATGAATGTCATACATTGTAACTGAAATTTTGTCCTAAGAACAATTTTGAATGACTAATTCATCTTGAGTATCATAAATACTCAAACCAACTGTAAAGGACCTATGAAGGAAGATGCTATCCACCTGGAGAGAAAGAATTGACAAATAGGAATATGTATAGTATGGTTTTACATATATATGTGTGTGTGTGTGTGTGTGTGTGTGTGTGTGTGTTACATATATATATATATATATCTACACATATATTTGTGTTCAACTATAACCTTCTCTAGGGTGGGGTGGGGAGGGAGGGAGAAAAAAAGTACACAGGAGAGAACAAAAGAAAACTTAAAAGGAAGCACAGAAAAGCAGGGTAGCTTTGAAATCAATGTATAGTATTTATTACATAGTTTTTTCAAAAAAAATGAAGAGTCTAAAATGGAAATTCATGGTTATATATTGAATCCTCTCTTTATGTTGTTCTGTGTACATGGAAATGTTCCTTTTTTGTCTTTTTGTATTTAAATTCAAAATGCATAAAAAAATAAAAATAAGCTCAAAAAAAAAAAAAGGAGACGAAAAGAAGGCAGGATCTCAAGAGGAGTCAAACTGGTCATACTGTTTCTCATGTGCTGGGTGACCACACATCTCACAAAAGGAATCCATGTCTTCCTTTCCCCTTATGACCACCCTCTCTCCTTTCTGGAGGTAGCATGTCATAGTGGATAGGCCACTGGATTTGAAGTCAGGAAGACTTGGGTTCAAATCATACTTCAGATAATTTCTAGATGTATGACCTTGGTTGAGTCACATCCTCTCTGTACCTCATTTTCCTCACCTGTAAAATGAGGGGGTTAGACTCCATAGCCTCTGAGATCCATTCTCTCTCCCAATCTGTGATTCTAAGATCCCTCATACCTTCTGCCTTTCTCCTGAGAATATTATCAAAGCAAATAATTTCCTTAAATATTCAAGTTTTATGTCATTGTCATTTTTCATCTTTCTCATTGGTATTCTTGCATTCCAAAATAAACAAAAGCAGACTTTCATTAGGAATTAAAATGCACCCAGAGTGAAAAAAAAATGCAAAACACCTGGGTATAAGTCCTAGCTCTGACACTTATTAGCTCTGTGACCCTAAGCAAATCGCTTGATCTCTTTGGACCTTTGTACAACTTAAATCGCCATAGACATGGAAGCTGTTATTTTTAACTATCTGTTCCTTGTGAAATCTTATTACAGAAATTGTTCTTTTTCACCTTGTTTGGCCTTAATTTGCCTTTTAATAGTCTAGGGCTTAATAACCAGTCACACTGGGGAAACCCTCAACAAAACTGAAGTAGATGGAGTTTTTCTGGAAGCTCTTCCATTATCCTTTTAGGGCCACCCTTCTCTCCCCTTCCCCCCCCCACCAGATTCTTGGGCTTTCATGTTCTTCTGGATCCCCACTCAAGCTTATTCTCAGAATGTCAAACATCTGGCTGGTATCCCCCCTCACTGTGGGAACTCTGCTGAACTTAGCATAGAAAGACCTGGATTCCTGCCACCACTTAGCAGGTGTATGACCTTGAACAAATCAGTTAGCTGTTCTTGGACTCAGTTTCCTCATCTGTAAAATGACACTAGATAATAATACTTACACTACTTACCTCACAGGGTTGTTGCCCTTTGTAAATCCTAAGCAATATAGAAAAACTATTTTCAACCCTCCCCCCAAACCTCGGTTTCTTTATGTATAAAAATGGTGATAATGTTAAATAGTGCCTACATTACCATAGAGTTGTTGTGAAGAAAATAATGTATAACTGTGAACTATTGTATTATTATATTATAATTTTATTACCCTTATCCTATTTCCCCTTTTAAACCTGTTCCAAGTTTCCTGCAGATGAGAATTCCTACTTGGGCATTAAAGCTTGATAACATCTTAATGCTTTATTCCACTCAAGCAGTTGGTGGTTTCCAGATTATAAGAGAGGACAATGATTTTTTCCAAAGGAATAAAGCTCTACTGGTGGAATTTTAGGTACTGTGACAGTAGGGAAAGGTTGGAGGATGAGGCACAGGATGAAGTAGGGAGGTGTTCCTGACCCAGCCTGACCGACCCAAGGTCAGTAGGACCCAGCACTTACCCAAGGGTTGAGAGCTGAGGTCAGAGTCATTCTTATAACTGACAGTGGATCCAGATGCCTTGGCTTCTTTCCCCGGAGTCTTCTATTGTAGGATGAGAGCTTATGCCCCAGGGCCACTGGGCTCACTCAGACCACATTTGATCTTGGGTACAGCCCTAAAAGATTACTTATCTATCCCTGACCCAGAACTTGTTCTGGGATATTTCCAAGTACAACAAGTATAATTCATGTCTGAATTTCCCTAAATGTGGGTAATAGGTTCCCCAATTCCTATAGAAGCCCTTAAGGTAACAAATGCATATCAGGTAGAGGACAGTCTTTATTTCATGCCAGAGCACATGCAGAAGGCTCCAGAGGACTCACTGGGCCCATAAACACATACAGAAAGCATTTAAGGTTCTCACAATATTTCATAAGCTCCCCTTAGAAGGCAATTGGACTTGGAGTTACCATTGTGGCAACACTGATATTCTGGTGAAAGCCAACTCTCCCACACTGCCTTCCAAATTCACAGCGACCTCCTGTGTTGTGGCTCTAGCACAGGAGGCAAGCATACTTTGGGGCTGCTGGACAGCCAATCAGGCAGTCCAGCAGGCCTACACAGTCCTACTAATTCACCATAATGGGGACAAAGGAGCAAAGTCCCTATCTCTCGCTCTCCCATGTCATATTTTAATCCCCTTACTCTTCTTCCAGTCACAGGTGACATAGGTGGTACTCTTTGACAGACAGAGGAGACACTCAGAGATCATCTAAACCAAATCCACTTGTGTTAGAGGTGGGAAAGCGGAGGCCCAGAATGTAAGCATAACTGACCCAAGATCACACAAGTGGCAAATAATAGAGTCACCATTAGAACTCAGGGTCTTCTGATTCTGCCCTACTTCCAATCTGCCCCTTGTGACGAAAGAGCCCACTACCAACACCACTATCAACCCCAGGAAAGGGTAGCAGCCCCTTCCAGGCCACCAGCCTTATTTTTCCCCCTAACCTCCTATGGCCATCATCGTGGAGGGAAGTAATCTTTGTAGAAATGAGACCTGACGTCTGCTTCTGTAGGGGCTGCAGCCCACACCTCCTCAGCAGCCATAGCTGCTAAAGACACAGAAAAGAAAGTTCTCAGCACCAAAGTCCTTAGCACTGTTAAATGCATAATATGATTGATTTTGGCTGGACAATTACAGACAAAAAAGTTTTGGGTTTTTTTGTTCGTTTTGGGTTTTTTTTGCCAATTTCCTTGGATCTTGAAAACTAGAGTATCTGAAACTTAAAGTCTAAGGCAGAGAATCTCTCGAGGGGTTCTTGAAAATGTGAAGGGCCAAAGTTTATCCCAGACAAGTTCCAACATGTAATATGGTTGGCTCTGGGCCCACATTTCCCTCATCATGGTACCAGAGAACTCTGTGGAGTCAATTTTTTCTGCTATTGGTTCAAGCCCCAACTATCTATGTTCTCTTCACTTTACAAGGCCCAGTGACTAACACTCCAATTCCATTTAAGCACTAACTTTGGGTAGCTTTTAAGAAAGAATATTTACATCAAAGATATAGCAAGAACAAACTACAAACCTTTTTTCCTGACACCTCAGGAGTATTATGCCCCCTATACCGCCTCAGACTGTGGGGGGAGGGGAAAGCAGAGGAGTCACCTTGCTCCCTCATATGCAAATACAGCCAAAGTCCTGGATTGTGTCAACACCTGGATGGTATTCTATTTGTGTTTCCAAGACACAGACAGTTCTGGCCACGCAGCCAATGGAAAAGAGGCCCCTCCCAGCCACATAGCTGGCCAATACAGGATGGCCATGCATAATCTAATCCTCACTATTTTCCTTGAAGAAGCTCCCAGACTCTCCACATGGACAGACACCAACTCAGGTGGTCTGGGAATGCACCAGAACTTTGTTACAAATGGTTCAACATCAGAAACAGATGTGATTCTATTAATGGAAATGAAATTTCAATAGATGTATTACCTCTGCTTTACTCCTGTGCCTTAAGGACCACTGGGCCTATCCTTTTGCCCTATAATTAAAATCTCCATTGTGTATTTTTCCCCATTACAATGTGAGCTCCTTGAGAGCTAAGACTGTCTTGCTTTATTTGTTTTCCCAGCACTCAGCACAGTGACTTGTACACAATACGTACTTAGTAAATGCTTTTTATTCATTC